AAAAAATGGGGGCCCCACGGAGGGGAGGGGGTTGAAAACTGGGGGGTCTAGGGGGGTCCAATGGGGACTCAATGAATGGAGGGCAATAGCAGAGATTAATTAGGGTTAATTAACGAGCTGCTGTCAATTACCCTTAGGTTACGCCCTGGTGGGGGTCCCGTGGGCCGAGCGACCCCTGCTGGCTGTCGGAGCCCCCCGGCATCGGCATGTGGGGAGCGTGGAGCTGCTCTGGGGGGGGGACGGGGGGTGGCAGAGACTGCAGAGACTGGATGGGGAGCAGGTGGGGGTCTCTAGGGGGAGTCTATGGGGTGGGGGGATTTATGGGGTCCCCGTGGGGTCTCTATGGGGTGGGGGGGGCTTATGGAGTCGCTATGGCGTGGGGGCCCCTATGGGGTCTCTATGGGGTGTGTACAGGGTGAGGGGATTTATGGGGTCCCTGTGGGGTCCCTATGGTGTGTCTATGGGTTGGGGGGATTTATGGAGTCCCTATGGCATGGGGGCCCCTAGGGGGCTCTCTATGGGTTGTCTATGAGGTGGGGGTCCCTGTGGGGTGTCTATGGGATGGGAGTCTCTATGGGGTCGTTATGGGGTGCCTATGGGATCTTTGTGGGGTCTCTATGGGTTGTCCACGAGGTGGGGTCCTGTGGGGTCTCCATGGGGTGTGTGTGGGGTGGGGGTTCCTACGGGCTCCCTATGGGTCTTATGGGGTCTGCAGGGGGTGGGGGTCCCTGCGGGGTCCCTGCGGGTGCCCACGGCTCCCGCTGTCCGCAGGTCGGCTCGTACTTCGGCTCCTCGCTCTGCGCCCTGGGCGGCGCCGGCCGCTCGCTGCTGGTCGGAGCGCCGCTGTTCTACGATGGGAGGAGGGGGGGCAGAGTGCACGTCTACCAATGGCGGGGGGTGAGCGGGTCACGTGGTGGGCGGGGGTCACGTGGTGGGCGGGGGTCACTTTGGGGGGGCTGAGTGGGTCGCGTGGTGGGGGCTCACGTGATGGGGGGTGTGTCATGTGGGGGTGTCACGTGGGTTTACCCCCCCCATATGCCCCCTTATCCCCACATCTGACTCCATACCCACCCCACATCACACCCCATAACCCCCCACCCTCTTCCCCCCCATATGACCCCACATCCCCCCCATATCCCCCAGACCCACCCCATATTCCCCTGTACCCCCGTATCCCCCTACCCCACCATATAACTCCATGTGACCCCATCTCCCCCGTACGACCCCATCTCCCCCCCATACCCACCCTGTACCCCCCCGTATGACCCCACATCCCCCCCATATCCCCTACAGGACCGCCTGCAGGCTGTAGGGCAGCTCTGGGGCTCAGCCGGGCAGCCTTTGGGGCGTTTTGGGGCGGCGCTGGCGGCTCTCGGGGACTCGGATGGGGACGGGGAGCCCGAGGTGGCCGTGGGGGCTCCGATGGAGGACGGGGGGCGAGGAGCCCTTTATGTCTACAGGGGGGTGCGGCAGCCGCTGCACGTCCAGGTGGGCACCGCTAGGGGGCGCTATGGGGCCGGGGGTGGGCACAACTATGAGGCGCTGTGGGGTACGGCTATAGGGCTACCGCTAGGGGGCGCTATGGGGCACCGCTAGAGGGCGCTATGGGGCGGTGGGCTAATGGCGTACGGCTATGGGGTTACCGCTAGGGGGCGCTGTGGGGTACAGCTGTGGAGTTACTGCTAGGGGGCGCTATGGGGCGGGGGTTGGGCTATGGGTTACCGCAAGGGGGCGCTGTGGGGCACAGCTATGGAGTAAGGCTATGGGGTTGCCACTATGGGGTGTGAGGTGAGGTTATAGGGTGGAGGGTGGGCTATGGGGCACAGCTATGGGGTGTGGGGTGGGCTATGGGGCGCTATGGGGTGGCTTTATGGGATGGTAGCTCTATGGGGTCGCTTCATGGGGTTTCCTGTGGCCCCATAGCGCCTGGAGGGCCGCGCTTTGGGTTTGGGGTTGCGGCATTTTGGGGCGGCGCTGCACGGGGCCGAGGATCTGAATGGGGACGGAATGACGGACATCGCCGTGGGGACGGACGGACGGGTCGTCATCATGAGGTGAGGTTGGGGTTTGGGGTTGTTTGGGGTTATTTAGGGTTTAAGATTTGGGGTGGTTTGGGGTTGTTTTGGGGTTGTGTGGGATTTGGGATTGGGGTGGGATTGGGGTTGTTTGGGGTTTGGGATTGAAGTTGGGGTGGGATTGGGATTAGGGTTGGGATTGGGGTGGGATTGATTGGGATTAGGGTTGGGATTGGGGTAGGATTTGGGATTTGGGGTTGGGGTGGGATTGGGGGTTTGGGGTTAGGGTGGGATCGGGGTTGGGATGGCTGTGGGATCATTATGGGATCATTATGGGATGGCTACGGGATCCCCACAGCTCGGTCCCGCTGCTCTCGGTGGCGGCTCAGCTCTCGGTTTCGGTTCGGCGCCTCCCGATCTTCTGGGGTCGCTGTGGGGTGGCTGGCGACGCTGTGGGGCTGCAGCTCTGCTTCCATCCGCATCTGCACAGCCCCACGTACAGCGGTGAGAACCCTACAACCCGGCCCTATAACCTACAACCCAGCCCTACAACCCGGCCCTATAACCTACAACCCAGCCCTCTAACCCAGCCCCACGAGTGACCCCATAACCCCACAAGTGACCCCATAACTGACCCCGTAACCCCGCAGGCCAGCTGCAGCTCCCCATCGTGTTCTTGCTGGCCGTGGACCCCCAGCGCCGTTTGGGTCGGGGGTCTCTGAGTTCCGGATCCCAAAAGTGGGAGGGGCGGCTGGAGCTGCGGGGGGGGCAGCAGTGCCTCAATGAGAGCCTGAGTGTCCAGGTAGGGGGGGGCGACCCTATAGGGGGGGGGAAAATCCCATATTGGGGGCAAAAACCCCATTTATGGGACAGCGACCCCATATGGGGGGCACAGAGCCCTTATGGGGCACAGACCCCATTTGGGGTCGCTTACCCTACTTATGGGGCGCTGCCCAACCCACAGCCGTGCCCCGATGACTCCCTCACCCCATTGAGGCTGGCCGTCAATTTCTCCCTGGACCCCACAAACTACTCCACAGACGACCTCAAACCCGTCCTCGACCCCACAGCCACGT